ATTATGCAATCACCTCTATATACACAATGCAAACACAAATCATGACAATATTTTTAGTAATACAATTAAAATATGTTTTATAGTCGGTGTTTGACTTTTAGCTTATGAGTTCATTATTTTCTGGTTCTGGCAACTGTCAGGGGGCAGGAGTAGCAGCCCTCCATCCAAGGTAATTGCCTATCCTTGATCTAGACTTAATCAAAGCTTTTGATATAATCCCTCATGGGGAAATTGACCAAACTGGTGGTGATGGGATCAGTACTGCAGTCAATTGTTGGATGAGGCGCTTGCTTAAAGGGAAACTACAGCAAGTTACATGGTTAAGAAGCTCTTATTTTAGCAGCCATCGGATGTGATACAGCTACTTCTCACTTAAAGTCTTAGTTACATTCTTGAAAAATGCAACTTTAAGCAAATCCAATTACATCACAGTAGTTATCTACTAGCAGGCGGCAGCCAAACAAGTATGTTCTCTAATAGATCAGCGATGTAATAACTAAACAATGTTAACCAGGATGATGTTAAGTGAGGAGTACCTATATGTGGAATCAAATATTTGTTGACCTCTCCAACAGAGGTTTGTAACACTTTTTCTGGCAGTGGGAGGTCAGAATGACCCAGGTCTGGCTGGAGTTGGGCTAGGAGTTGTGGCCAGGTCTTAATGCTGCTTCTCCTGTGCTCAGCTGCAGTGCAGCAAAAGTCCTGTGCCACCCAGCAGCAGCGTGGCATGGGCAGAGCCCTGCCCTCTGTCAGTGGCAGGTGGCTGACTCGTGCGGTATAGGGAGAGCCCCCACTGCTGAATGTTGAAGCTACAACTCTGCAGGCTGGATCTGGCCAGTGAGTCATAGGTTGGCAACCTCTGTTGGAATATAGAGCTAATTCTGTTGCAGTGTGATTTTGTTTTCTGTCGGTCCCATGCCTCAGAGCTTTGGTTGACCCTGCTTCCCCACTCAGGGTGAACCACACAGGTGCTAACCCTATATGGGCACTGTTTTGCCCTCTTCAGCCACAGGTGAGTAAGGATCACTGGCCATGTGGTACAATGCTGGCAAATCCTAGCCAGATTTTGCTCCCCTGAAAGCCCAAGCTGGATGTAGTACTGCTTGCTTTTTCTGAGAGGTCAAGCACTGATGGTGCAATACACCTATAGTTTTGAGATGGAACTCCCTCACTTGTGTCAAATGTATCAGGGGAGAAGATTAAATTCTCTTTAATTATGGGTTGGTGTATGAAGTTAGCACTGAATCCTACTCAGTGTAACCACTGACATCACACAAGAGTTACAGAGAGATCAAGCAGCAAAGTGCCTTCCATCTGGAAACTAAATTTGTAGTTTTGTGTTTTTTTTTTTTTTTTTTGTTTTTTTTTTTTTTCTAATCCCTATGGATGTAATTTTTTTCATCACAAAGTTGAAAAAAATGTACTCTAGCTCAGGGATTGGCAATCTATGGCCTGTTGGCTAGATCCAACTTGCCAAGTGCTCTGATCCGGCCTGTGAAGACTGGCTATCTGCAGTATTTTTTTTGTGGGAGGTTGGCAGTGAGATGGGGGAGCGTGGCACGGCAGTAGTGGGCAGTGACAGTGGTGTCAGCCGAGTCGGAATGCCAGCTTGCCTTTGGAGCCAGCTCGGTTTAAAGTAGCCTACCGCTCAAAAAGGTTGCTGATGCTTGCTCTAGTTCACCGCTGTCCTGATGTTTTTGTTTTTTCTCTAGCCTTCACTTTTTTTTTTTTCTCTCTCTCTGCAGCAGATCTCAATTTGCAGTCTGTGTTTCACTCATCCTGTACCCTATTCTTTCCAATAAACAGTTGCCAATCACATTAACTTTCACACTTAACACATCATTATTGGGATTTAAAAATGATACACAAGTAAGATTTAATATTAGGTAAGTAAATCCATGCTTCCCAATCGTTATCAGGCTATCTGCAACTTAAACAGGCATTTCTGCATCAGTTACTCAGTTTGCACTGGAAGGTTATAAAATCTATATTAAATCTAAACATGTTCTTTTTCTAAAAAAAAAAAAAAGTGGAAAATCTTTTAAAACACTGAGATTTCCTATCCAAATTATGATAAGGCCTGCCCTATTTAGTTTGAGGTCTGATTATGTTGTACCTTGAAGATTTTGCCTGTGTTCAAAGCCAATTGCAGATATTTGTGCACTTACGTTAAATGTTACAGCTATTGCATAAACAAGTATACTCACAGCGGGGTTATACTACAAGTTTGGTATTATTGTCTTGTATGTCTATGGCTATGTAGCTTAGTGGTGATGCAAAATAAACCTATCATTGTAGATGAGCAACAGTGATGCATGCCCCATTGCTGTTGTACGTGTATTATGCGACTTTTTACCCCTGTGTGTTGTTGGATACTTGCTAGAAGTTTTATTGAAATCCTGGGGGTTGGCATCAAACTAAATTCCCATGAATAAACAGGTAAGAGGAATCTTGTTTGTGCAAGTCCAGCATCATTTTCAAGATGGTGGCAGACAGCATGGAGGAAACATTAGGGAGCACTGTAACCCTTGCAGTGATGAATATAAACATGTCACTGCCAACATGTGTAACATTATGAAGTTGTTTCTCAACCAGTGCAAAAGGTTCAGAGGAGGAGTAGGAAAGCTTTTTAGTTGAGCCAGAGAGCTTTTCCTGGAGCAGCTTCATTTGTTGGGGACTAAAAAGCAGCAGTCTGCCCAGGAGTGCTAGGATAGTGCAGGGGTTTTCAACCTTTTTTTAACAAGTGTACCCCAGTGGCCCCCTTTTAGTACATGTACCCAGAGGGAGAGCATGGCAAGCAGCTCGATGCCAAGTGGGGGAGTGGCAAACATCTGTGCGGCCTTGCTTTCGCCCTGCCCTTCTCTGCTCCTGTAAGATAGCAGCCTGGGATGGTGGCACTCAGTCCCCACGTAACCTCTGGAACCTTTCAAAGTACCCCCAGGGTACATGTACCCCCGGTTGACAACCCCTCGGATAGTGCTATGGAGTCTGAAGGCTGGGGGGTTTACTAATGGATTTGCTGGTTTTGAAGTTTCTGAATTGTACTGGGGCTGTTTGGTGGGATCCATGTGTCTGTTCTGTAGTCCTTGCATCAGGCTTATAGAGTTCATCAACAAAAAGGGGTAGTTCTCCAGGGTGGTGAAGAGTTGGTACCTAAGGTTCACAAATATTAGTATGAATTTGTTGGAAAAGTCTGCAGTGCCAACATCTTCAGAAACTGTCTTGTTTTGTCTGAGAAATGATGGTTTTCTTCCCATGATTTGTCACAACATTGACATTTTCAATTCCCAGGTAATTGTGGGAGATCCAGCTTAGCCCTTACTGCATGGTTTATGGAGCTTTTTGCTGGATGCTTTGTGAGAGAAGCATTGTTTAGTGCAACTCTTTGAGGTGTATTTAAATGTGCTCTTGCAAGATGCTGAGAAGCATCTGTCTCCTTATGATCAAAGCCACTTGCTGTGTTTCTCCAACCTTTGTAAGAGAGCAAGAGCCTCAAGGATGAATGAGAAGAGGAGGTTGGTAGATTAGCTAAACATTTCAAATGGATTCCACAAAATTCTGCAGGGTCAGAGGATCAGAGATATGCTGATGTGCCGTGTTCCTACTTTTGAGCTTAGGGCTACCTTTGAACAGCAGTGCAAATTGTTGCCAATCTAACTCGCTCTCCTGTGTGGACCAGCTATAAATGGCTGATGAGATGCATCTTAAAATACTCCTTTTTTTTTTTTCTAATGTAACAGAGGTCTGTGCTGGGAAATTGAAGGTCTAACATTCAGACGCTGATGCTTTATTATGACATACAATGGTATTTTTACTTTTTCCAGTTTTCTTTTTGAACTGTCTTATCTAATGCACAGTGTGTGGAGACACCCTTCAAAATAGGATTTATAATTTAATACCGTTATTATTTCTCAGCTGTGGTGCTAGGGATAGCAGAATAGGTATTCCACATTCTGATTGTCTTGCATTTCAGTTTCTTCTCCAATAATGCCAAGTTTGAGAATTGATTGGTATAAAATGGTGTTACGCTAGTTCTGCATCTGTCTTCTGTATAACTTTTTATATAAATGAGGTCATTATATAAAATGTAGAGGTGAGCAGTAGCAGTTGTCACGGAGTTGTAAAGAACATATCCTGCCAAACTAACGACTTTTTTTATAGGGTAGTCAGTTTGGTAGTAAAGTGAATACAATAGAATTCATACCTAGACTTCAATAAGGCTTTTGATAATGGCATTCCCAAATCAGCTACAGAAATGTTGGCTTAAACAGAATTACTATTGGGTAGATATATAATTGGTTGAGTAACTGTAAATAAAGAATAAAGATAAATGTGTGTGTGTCAGAGAAAAGAAGGTTGGGTGAGGCCTAGGGTGACTGGAGAAAGGCAAATACAATGCCCATTTTTAAGAAGGGGAAGAAAGAGGATCCAGGGAAATGTAGGCTGGTCAGGCTGACCCCAGTACCTGGAAAGATCATGTAGTAAGTCCCCAAGGAATCTCTTGTGAAGTACCTAGAAGAGAACAAGATCAAGAACAGACGGGATGAATTCACCACGAGCAAGTTATATCTGAGCAACCTGATTTTCCTTCTGATAAAATGGCGGGCTCTTTGGATGGAGGTTGACCAGTGGATGTGATATACCTTGACTTTAGTAAGGCTTTTGACATTTGCCTCCCATGATGATCAAATTAACAAGCTAAGGAAAAAGAGCCTGCCCAACTTGATGGCCCATGGGCTGCATGCTGTCCATGAGTCAGGGGGCAGGCTGCCCATGCTGTATGCTGCAGGGGAAGAAACCAGGCTGCACATACTACTTGCATGCTCAGCAAAGGAGGGAGTGAAGCTGCCTGTGCTGCTTGCATGGCAGGAAGGAGCCAGGCTGCACATATTGTAGGGTGAGGTTTGGTTGGGGGAGGGGGTGAGCAGAAGGGGAACTGGGATGTATGCGGTGGGGGGGGAGGGGGCAGGCAGACCAGAACTTTGTGGCAAGAGGGGAGTATGGGTGGCCTCTGGTCTGCACTGCGTGAGCCTCCAACTACCCAAAAGTTGGACAGCCTAGGACTAGGTAAGTGTTGCAAGGTGAATACGTAACTTGATGAGTAGTCATCAGTGTCTTAATGTCTAGTTGGAAGGAGGTATCAAGTGAAGTTCCTCAGGAGTATGTCCTGGCTCTGACATTATCATTAATGCATAAGAGGCTGAACAATGATTTGGACTATGGGATTCATATGCTTGACAGATTTGAGGATAGCACCAGGTTGGGTGGAGTTGCAAGTGCTCTGAAGGACAAGACTATGGTTCAGAACAGGGGTGGGCAATTATTTGGGATGGAGGATCACTTAACGAGTATTGGCAAGCTGTTGAAGGCCATGCACTCGTGTACACACACACACACACACACACACACACACACACACACACACACACACACACACACACACACACACACACACACACACACACGTGTGTGTGTATATATATTCAGCTGTCTAAATCCTAGAGACTGTAAATCTTGACACCAGACCTCATGGGCTAATCTCTGCTCTTGGTGGATGAGAGGTGAAGAATGAAGAAACCGTATGGAAACTGCTGGTGGAGAATTATGAAAGTTAGAGTAATTGAGTCCACCGGTGAAGAATTCAGCAGTGAAAAGATTGAGAGCGGTGATTAGCAAAAAACTCTAGTAGATTAATAATTGATTGATTAATAATGTGGACAAAGATGTTCATGGGCTATCTTGTGGACTTGCTATTTAAAGTGTTAGGGAGAAGCTGGAAATCAGAAATGGGACAGGAGAAGCCAGATGCACTTGATACATTCTTTTCAGAATTATTTGAGACCTGAGTTTTTTGAAGGACAGGTAATTCAAGAAGGCTGGAGAAGCAGAAGGTGTCAAAAGTATCCACATTTTCAAGGACGTAAGAGCAGATGAAGGGAAGAGATGAATGCATGGAAGTCTATAACCTTAGTATTTGAAATGATGTATGACTCCAAAATAGTTTGCCCTAAATTCTACAGTAAACTTTTAGAATTTTGCTTATTACTAAACCTGTCTTCATATTCTGTTATCTGAAAGTGTTGTGTCCACTAACATTGAGCACACCATTAATGCTTAACAAATGCATCTGAAAATTCTAGTGTTACACCAATACATTGGTCCAATATTGGATCAGCACAGATATAAAGAAAATTGGCTGCATCAGAAATCAGCCTGATGAAGCCAATAATTTGGCTGATGAATGCCTGTGTGTGCAGCCACAGTGCAGCATATAGGTGGCGAGGAGCTCATAGTTTGTTTGTTTGTTTTGGTTTTTTTCTGTACATATTTTATGACTCAAACAGTTTTTTCTTTGTTGCTTGTTTTAAAGATTTTCTGAATTAGCTGCACAAATTAATCCTTCAAGGGAAACTTTTTAAAAAGTTGAGGGAGAGACTAGTCATTTAGGATGAAGCCATTTTTAAGTTTAGCAGCTGAGAATATTATTTATTCCCTTAGGAGCTAGGAGGTTTCAATCTGTGAAGTGTCGAGGGAAAGCTGAAGATTCTCAACTCCAATTGGAATGGAATGTTAAACTTGACATTTTATATATGTGTGAGCCCAGCACCCCGTGCAGCTGTCCCCTACCCCACTCCCTCTTCCTTCTGCCCAACAACTTCCTCCTGGATTGGGGCAGGGATGGCCCTGAGACTCCCTTCACTCCTGGGATAGCGATGGCAGCAGGCAGATCCCTTCCCCACCTTTCTACTCTGATGCCTAGTTAGTAAAGTTTGCTCCTTGGGTAAGCCCTGCTGGAGAGAGGGAGGGGAGATGCCACTGAATGCTGGAGGGAGGTGATGCCTAAGAGCAGGGGTTGGAAGGTGGAATTCTTACCTGGTTTAGAGGCTCAGTTGCTTGGCTGCTGTCGCCAGGATACATGAGCTCAATCCCTTACTGTGTTCAGAGCAGTGGAAAACTGGAGCCAGTGGCATGTGAGCTACATAATGGAAAGGAGGTGCCACCATGCCACTGCCCCCTCCATGGATCTGCCCCTTTTCTCTTGTTGCGTAGCTCTAGATGGCTTGCTGTTCAGTATACTGGTTCTTGTAGATCCCATTCTGCAATGCCAGGCTCTCCCCAGGCATTGTTTAGGGCACATAGCCACCTGTTGGAAGGCTCTAGATTCCACTGTAAAAGCCAGGCACCATCAAATTAAGTGTTGTAACTCCAGAGTTCCTTTTTGATTGTAGCCCCTAATCTCTAATTGCAGTAGATGAGTTGACTCTCTTATAGTCACAGTGGTACTTGTGACCAACTCTGATTTCTTCCAGTCTTCCTCTCCATTTCTATTCAACATGCTAAATTGATGAGGTCCTTTATACCTATGGGATATCTGGAAGATCACGTGTTCTGACCTCTCTCCTAGTAGGAGAGACCCAAGAGTATGTAACCTATTTGTGTGCTTTTGAAGAGGCCAGAAGAGATTAATTCTTTTAAAAACTCCAGTAGTTAAATCCATTTATGGTGAGGCAGTACTTCAAAATGCTAATTAACTGACTGACAGTGCCTTCCTATACCATGAGCCTTGATTGCTTTTTCCTAAATCCATGAGATGTTTCATTCTTGTGAACTTGCAGGTGTTTTCATGTTTTAACAGCTACTGTTCACTGACAGCTTCTACCATTTGAATATAAGGGTTGACTGCAGAAGTTAGGCAAATTTAGCTATTCCACAATTTTTTTTAACGAAGGCACATATTGCATTTAGCTTTTTTTTTGCAGAGTGAAAATTATTTAAGTTAGTCTTTAGATTGTAGAATGGAACTATCTTTATATTCCATGGTTCTATTTAATGCAAGTTTCCTGCCTTTACTTTTAAACCTTCATCTCATCTGTGTTGTTTTCTACCATTAATTCCATTCTACCAAAATTAATCCATGTTGAAGCAGTGGGGAGTCCTTAGGCATGAGCTAACAGCAAAATTGTAAAAATGTAAGTCATTCTGAACAGGGAGGGGTACGTTTTTAAGAAGTTTGATAGGCATGGGGCAAACAGTCAAAATTGTCAAGTATATGCTACTTTGGAGATCTGTGGTGGGGGTAGAAACTATCTTAAGAGGTTGATTATATCGCTTTTTTTTTTTATAGCACTTGATTGAGGCACAACTCCCAGTAACCAGCTGTAACTGTGAAGGCCTCACATTTGGCAAATCAGTTACCTGATACCTTACATTGGGCATCTATAAAAAAACAAAAAAACCCCCCAAAAATAATTACTGTCCACCTACGAGGAGTTCATTTGAAGTGACTTCCCTACCATTACACAAGGAACCTGTAGCTGAGGAAGGAATAGCAACCACTTCTTTATGGCAGCATTTGGTTGTTTGAACTCCTTCTTGCAGTCATTTGCTTCACTTATTGCATGCCTTCCACATGTTGCAGAAAAGGAGGATAGTACTCCTTAATATAACAACATTGTTTACTACCTGGCTTTTGGTTCTTTACCACAATGTTGTTCATTTGAGTAATGAGGCAAGGATTCCCTGGAATAAACCTGTATGTGATGATATCATTGAAGACATGGCTGAAATAATTTTGCATAGACAACTTGTACTTCGGATGCATCTGGCTTTTTAGTGTCTGTCTTTGCACTATTTTGAGTCCTCTAATAGATTTTTTTTTTAATGCAGCTTTCTTCTCTAGGATCTTCAGAGTGAAATATTAATAAAACTTCTCTGTGGTTACAGTGTCCCCTGCCTATGCCTTGTGTCATCCTAGGGCAGTGTTTCCCAAACAGGTGCAAATCGTTCCTGTGGGGGTATAACTAAAGATGAAGTAATGTTGAGCAAGTCCGCTGTCCATGCATATGCAACGCTCCATAAATGCTGTGCATGCACAGAAGTGTCGAACAATGTTGTTGGCTAAAGTGGGGGTGGAAGGGAAGGGCACAAGAATGGCTGACTACCGCAGTGTGAAATGTTGTTCCAGGGGTTCTCTTGATATTTAAGATATTGTTCCTTGTATTTGTTGGAGAAGTGTTTGAGGTGGTAATTTGAGGCATTTGTTTAGCTAAGGACTTCCTGTGAATGCAGGGGACTTGAAAAGAACTGCCATTTATGGGTCAGACCATAGGTCCATTTCGCTGTGTCATACAGTGGCTAACAGGTAGAGTGAACAGGATATGACCAGGGCTTTTCTCCAGTTCCTCTTCCACTTGTAACCTCCAGCACTGAAGATCTAGGAAGTTTTGATTTGGAGGCTGTGCCTCTTAACTCCCATGTTCAGTTGTTGTTGATGGACAGATTCTTGGAGGAAAGGTACAGTCCCTTTTTGAGTCTACTTAAACTGTCCACATCGTCTTGTTGGAATGAGTTTCACACTTTAATTGCACATAGTGTGAAAACCATTTTTTGTTAATTTTAAACTTACTACCTGCTAGTTTCATTTTATGACCCCTAGTTCTTGTATTGTGGGGCTCTTTTAGCTCCAGTCCTGTGTTCCTAATATAACAGCTGGTGCGGAGGGAAACTGGAGTTTATCATTTCCTTCAGCTTGGGTGCTCATTATAGTTTGGACTTTCAGATTCACAAATATAAATATATTTCCATTTAGACCATTCAGTAGGGTGTGTAGTAAAGGTTTTTTTACTACTCAATATTGTTCACTCCTACTTGATTACAGTACAGGCACATAGACTCATTGATTTCAGTTTTTAAAATTCTCTGATTTGATTTTAGTGGTTATGTAGACTCTTCTGCTCCCATGCCTCTACCCTGCTCTTTCTTTTTCTATTGCTGTCATTGCTCCTGTTCACAATGTTATTTCCAACCCACACCACCACTGAAATTAATTATTTATAAACAGCAGTCTGACTCTGGACAAAGACTGCGAGCCCAGCTGGGAGCATCTGATTCAACCTTGAAAGAGGCACCATTTTCATTGCAGAAAGTAGTCTTCCTCAACAGCCTTGTTGACTCATTCCTTGGGCCACAGTTTGCTTCACCTGAAATTGCAGTCTTATCATTTTCCTACCCCATCCCATTTGGGAACTGCTTGGCCCATTTCAGACATGCATGAGCTTACATCACTATGGACTAGTGGGTCTTAAATGCACCATTTGGTTCAATCCAGTGACCCTTGTCATGACTGTATTTTGCCAGACCGTTTTCTCTATATTGGCTTTCAGGACAAGAGGCAATACCTATATAGCAGTGGGAACAGGAAGTCCATAGTGGGGTGTTTGGGGGTTTTTTGATCCTGAAAGAGGAGGAAGATGACAACCTATCTTGGCTTGAGAAAACTTAACTCTTCTTTAGGCTGAAATTTATGATAGTGATGCTGGCCATTATTATAATCCTCTCCTTTTTTTGAATTGGGTGGAGAGGGGACTAGTTTGCATCTCTAAACCTTCAGGATGCATATTTCCACAATGGCATGATACCTCTTCCCAGAAAATATTTGTGGCTTGTGACGGGCAGGAACTACTACCAGTTCAAGGTCCACTAGTCAGGCTGTCAAGGGCCCCAAGGGTTTTCACCAAAGTCCTTCTTAAATGGTAGTGATCCACATAAAGGAAAAAAACATTGCTGTAATCCACATACAAGAAAAAAATGTGTTAAAATTCCACGTTGATTCAATCCTCCCTGGCCTTGTGGAACGATTGAGACAACTGCTGTTGGCTTTAACTCAGCATGTACTGATTGTGACAGGTGCGTTCCTCCTGGGATGAGAAGTGCATATGGGTGACCTTTGAGCACATGGTTGTGTAAGACAGATGCACATCAGTCTGTTGGTTCTCAGAGCTCTTTAGTCATTTCTGCAACATTTGGGTTGTTGTGTCCAGGTTATGTAAATATGGTCATGCTACTATCCATCCAAAGGTGAGGTGGAATTAATTTTTTCCAGCTCTACAGTTAGGTTGTGGAACTAATATATTTGTTATGATATGCAACTTGACAGTATATTTGCCTAGCCTTCAGAACAGCAGCCTGTTTTGTTCTCAGCAGTTACATATCACTGAATAACTAAGTGGGAAGTTGGTGACTTGATCCTCCTTTCTTGAAGTTCCATGTAGCTTGGAATTTTGCAGTTGAAAGGAGATTGGAGGAGTAGAAAAGATGTGGCTCATAATGCTATTGGCCTAGAGCATGTGGGAAAGAAGATTGCATGCATATCATGAATACTACTGGGGCCAGGCGATTGGGAGCTGTGCTGGTGCCACTTCTCAGCCCCCGACTCCCTGGTTGGGGCACAAGTGCAGTCTCTAGCTGGAGGGGAGCTGTTGGGACCAGGCAGCTGACGTCTTAAGGAATTTGATAACCAATGTCTTCTACTGAATAGACATCTTATCAAGGATTAGGGTGGTATTGGTATTGTCTTAGTGTGGATGTCACTGCATTTGAAGTGCTGTCTGGCTGATTTCAGTGCTAGGAAGAGATCAAACTTTGGGGGGGGAGATGGCTGACATATACTTAGTACCATCTTTGCTATTCTGTTTTTTCGGACAAAGATGGAATGCGGAGGAAGGAATAATTCCTGGCTGGTTTTTTCTTAATAACTTGATGAGTCACAGATGGGATGACCTAGAAATAATAACTTTACCTTTGATACCATATATTTTTAACAGTTGGGAATGCTTTATGTTGGGAACTTGTACCAAGTTTTGTATACTTCTGGAGGTTTCAAATTATTTATATTACATGTGAGGGGGAAAAAGCCTTACTACAGGCAAAATAAGTGTTTTATTTTTTTTCTTCCTCAGATTTTTATGCAGTTAGTAAAATTCTGCATAAATGTAATTCTTTGTGGGTTTTGGATATTTTGGGTTTATTTATGAACATAAATGTGTATAGGTTCCTGGTATTGCATCCTTTTGTCTACATCCTGTGAGGAATGTACTTAAAGATTCTTTCAGAGCTGTTCAAGATTATTTTAAAAATGAATGTAAAAAGAAAGAGGAAAAACAGGTAATCCCATCAAGTGCTACAAGTTGAATGGCAGAAGCTCCAGTTCTGGGACCTTGGGGACAAATTGTGTTCCAACTGCCGAAGCAACACTTAGCAGTTCTTCTCAGTTATCTAATTGAATTTTAGTTTGTGTGTAAACTTCATACAAAAAGCCTTCTAAAATGAGAACAATGCAGTGTCGTAAGTATAGATTAAATAGGTTTAAAAATATTCAAAATAGTTTAATAGTACCATAAATATTCATGAGCCTAAATCACAGGTTGGAATGGACCTCAGGGGTCATCTAGTCCAAACTGCTGGACAGATGCAGCTGGTATCATTCATTCCTAAACCTTCATAAACAGGTGCCTATCTAGCCTCTTCTTGAAAATCTAATCTGTCTTTTTTTAAACAGCTTGTTTTCTTGTTTTGCTCTTCTTACAATGATGGTCCCTAAAAGGGAGAAGGATCAGAGGCTTTTCCAGAGCAATGTAGCCAACTCATTGGAGTAGTGTGAAGAAATCTACAGACACTTTGAAGTGAAATAAAAATAAAGAAAAAATAAACACAATTGAGCAATAAGTATAAAAAAAAAAAGTTTTTAAAGTCCTGTAAATCATAAAACCTACAAAATACTGTCATGTAAGATGCCCTGAGATTCCATTCCTAAATGGAGACTCTTTATGAAAATGGATCTTTTTTCTCAGCTATTTATTACTCCAGTTGGTACCCCATTATACATTAGAATTGTGCATATGGATTTCCAGCTCATCATCTGAAACTTCCATTATTCCTATCAGTCTACACTACAGCATCCAACATTAACTATATTTCCTTTCCATGGCCAAAATGCCATAGGATTAAAAAGGGTTGTGGGGTATGTTGGGTAACGGATGTTTTGGGAGCATTTGTTCTCTCTTATTGGTTGGTTCATGGACCCAGAAAGGTTGAGGGACCCATTTGATTTTAAATAAAAGCTTATGTCAGTGATGGGCAAAGGTCTGTAAATGAGAAGTGAATTTTAGTGCAATGATGTTACAGCAAGGGGCTAAAGAAACTTTAATTTTAGGTGATAGTTTCTAAGACCTTGGTTCAACAGATGATATTTTGAAGAGAGGTGTTAGAAGCGAGCTAGCATTCTGTCTTGATGGGATGACTTTCTGTACCAAGTCAGTCAGCTCATGGGCATGGCTAATTGACAAGATGTGATATGAATGATTTTGTATTGTAGGCAGTAAATATTTTCAGAATGACCTGACTAGCTTTTTAACAGTGCTAAGTAGTCAACTTTTAGCTGCTACTTGCCAAAATGTTCCTTAAAATGTGTAGCCCCAGCACTTCCTGCAGACCATTCCTTTTGTGATCATCTGTTGGAAAAGGTTTAACTTCCTTGGTGTGACAAAGGATTTGTATTGGTGATAACACTTAATTTTGGAGAACTTTTTTTACCTGATTAAAAATGCTAGTATTTTTTTGAAGTCTGTTCTTTTGTGTGTTTTATTAGGAATAAGCTCTCTTTTAGGATATTTTTTTAGTTAGGTGGCATTTAGTTATAGGCACTTCTCAGTCCAAAGAATGAAGAAGTCATTTTACACTATCAAGACATTTTGATTCTTTTAGACGAAATCTGAGTCGACTCCTTAGCACATTTGTTTACTAAACTACATTTGGAAAAGAGTGACTGTACATGGCTTGAATATTCTTAAAAATAAATAAATTAAGCAATTTATAAGGACTTAAATGATCAGAAGAATCTTACTGTATTGTTAATAGAAACAGTCCTGTGTCCTTTCTATTTACTAAATATATTGAACACACTGTTTCCTTTCACAGCATTCTGTAGCTTAAATATTTTGGTCAGTGGTAGTGCTTTTAACTTGGTTCACTTACCCATCCTTTTTGTGTAATCATTGCTCTGTAGCTTGAATAACACTGTCTACCTTAGGATAATATTTGTGGGTTTCTAAATCTTAAGTAAAAAACCCCCAACCTGTTAAGCTAATGCACATTTACACTGTTTTAAAGTAGATGCCAATATGGATAGATATAATCCTTGTGAGCTCTGCTTTATTTGTTAACCAGCCACTACTAATGCAGGGGCATCTCTTAAATTGTAGCTCTCAGTTCTATTTCAAAGTTCCTTGTTTTCATTGTGGCTGATAACTGTACACTAAGGGTAGATACAGATGTTCAAATGATGTGGGAGAAGTCTATTGGGTTTGATCTCCTGGTAGAAAAAAATGACCTATAGATGCCTGCCTGAACAGACATTTGAATGCTGAGCTCCTGAAGGGAAGGAAGCTTGCCGAGCTGACACTGCACAGGCAGGATACCCCTGTGCACACATCTCCGCATACTCTGCAGGCTCCCTTGTGTGCCTGGTGATAGATGGCTGCAGTTCATGAGGCAGTCTTGGTTGGCTGACCCAGACTGCTCAGAGTTAGCTTGTACCTCCCTGTAGCACTATTTGTAGGGTTTGTGAAGGGGGCACATTCTGCTCTCAGCTTGGATGAAGCATCAGACTTCAGTCTGAGCAATACACCTCTCCTGTGGGTGGGAGAGGCTGGAGCTGGGAGCAAAAGCACCTTGACGTGTCCGAGAGAAACTGCAACACAATCCTTCAGCAAAGTATAGAGAGACATAAACTCTCCCAGGAGTGATTTTAATCCCAGTTGTTCCTGGGTTATTTTTCTCTTGGAGTAGCCATTTTTTGCTCTGGGAGAAAAATCTTGAACATCTGTACACTCATGGCTATTAGGAGAGCAACGACTCTTAGTAGGACCTGAATGTCTGTAGATGGTGTAAGAGTGCAAAAAATCTCCCTGTCTCAAATAGTGTTTATAAGCATCCAAGCACTATTTACCTTGCTGGGGTGACCTGACCCCGGCTGACTTCCTGCCCTTTGGGCAGGGGGCTGAACCCAGTGATCTCGCGAGGTCCCTTCCAGCCCTAATATCTTTGAAATCTATGAAGAAACGTCCAAGTAAAACACTTTTGTCTTCTTTTTTTTGGTTTGTTTTTTTTGGTCCCCTCCCTGCCTACCCTGTCTTAGGTCCAAGATGGGCTTCTTGGAACACTGGTGTTTTTATTTGCATCAGATGTGCTGGGATACATCGAAACCTTGGGGTTCATATATCAAGGGTCAAATCCGTCAACCTGGACCAATGGACCCCAGAACAAATACAGGTAAGGGACACCTTGAAAGCATATCCTAAAACTGGGGGAACATATTTAAAAAGGTATGGGAAAAATGGGACCAGAGGGGAGGGGAATGGGGAGGGTGTGTACTTGTCCTCCAGAAATTTCACCTTTTCTAGTGTGTTGAATATACAAGACACAAGTAACTATAAAAAGACACAATTTTTACTAAAATGCATTTATTAAGGGTATACAAAAAAGCTAGAACTCTTGGTTCCAAAATGATACCTTTTATTAGACCAACTGGAAAATGGCAAGATAATTGTCCTTTTCTGCAAGCTTTTGGGATCAAAGTCGCTTTGTCAGGATCTGGGAAAAGTGTAGATGGTAAAAGATAGTAAAAAGTCTTATTAAGGGTAGTATTATTTGCAGTAAAAATATGTAAAAATTAGATAGTTTTCCTCCCATTTATTTTACTTTTATTGGTCTATTGTAAGGGTTTCTGTACAGGTGCTTTCACTTCAATTGTACTATTGGGTTTGTGATGCTACTTCAGAAACAAAACAAAAAACAACCAAACAAAAAAAACAAGTGGTCAGAGGATTGGGCCCTTGTCAGGCACCTAAGTGTGATCTTGTTCTGCCTTGGTAAAGTCTGTGTTAATGGAAAGGATATGTAGATCCATTCCTAGTTATTTTTTGTGGCTTAAACTTGAGGCAAAGAAGATGGCATTTCAAAGATTTTTTCAAAGACTCAGCAGGATGGAATAGGATGGTATTCAAGCCCTAAACCCCCTTATGTTTATATCCAGTTTTGCTTTGGTTTATGTATACTGTGTGTACATGTGCATACACACATTGATTGTTCAAAGTTTTTTACCTTTCACTATTTATTGGTTATCTAACTACCTTCTAAAAGAATCAGTAGTGTAGTGTGAGGCATACCCACCCTTCAGTCTTACAGATGTAAAAGATTCAAAAGTTGTATGGTTTTTAACTTTGTGGCCACTAAACCTTGGTAACTTGTCACTTTTTTTGTTATTAAAATGTAAAAGATACAGATCTGTGTCATGGATCACAGAAATGAAGTTCACCAATGTTTAGATGCCAAAGTGTTTTAATCAGAAATATAGCCTATTATTAGTGTGGCTAAGAACAGGCATTGCATTTGTCTCTAGACTAAATATACCTGTGGTTTGTCCTGAAATGGAGATATCCCAGGATTGGCACGTGCACACATTACTCCTCTAATCAGAGCTCAGTGAGTGGTTAAATTTACTGCCATTTTTTTTTCTGCCATTTGATTTAATAGTATAGTCCTGGGATAACCATTCAGAGACATTTTGCAGTGTCCTGGGATATTTAGTACTTTTTGTTTCTTATGAACCTTTCCAGGATATGTTCTGGGACAATGGATGTTTGAATGATTGCACTGTGCGCCAGGATAAAATAGTTTAACCTGGGACAAATGTAATCTATTTTGAGGCTTAGGACTCCAGCAGAGTGCATGAAGAGTGGTAGAGAGAATCTTTGAGTGGTTGAAGTTAGGTTTTAACTTTTTATTTTAATTTCTTAAAAATAAAGTCCTAATGAGAGATTAATGCATTTAACATCCATATTAGTAAAGCACAAAGTATTGGGAAATGCTAAGGTATTTTGTCAGACGTAGACACGCCCAGGAAGTAGTATTATTATATGTGCACATTAATGCACATTAGCCTGTGCATTAAAGCATTGCTTAAAAACTGCTATTTAGTTAATGTGCATTAAGACAGGCTAATGCATTTTCCTAGTACCTCATAATGGAGGTACTAGATTTAATGCACACTAACTAGAGCTCATTAATACACATGTAGATTGATGTGCCTCCTGACAAGTTGCATAGTATCAGCCCCCTGGATATGGGATGTGAATCTCTACCAAGGGAGCCCTAATTACAGTTGTGGGGTTGAGGATTTGGTAGAAGAAAGGAAGGTGGGTGGAATGCTGCACCTGCTCTTACAGCTAATCCTCAGAATAATTGGGAACAGTGAAGAGAGGATTGGGAGTGGATGTAAGAACACTTCCAGCTGCACTGTTATGAAACATTTCACCATCAGAACTGAGGTGCTGGTGCATCCCAACAGCATGCGTGTTAGAGACCCCAATTCTAAAAGCTCTGGTTATAAGTGACTAACTTTTATCTCTCTTTTTTTTTTAATAATTGAAATATTAGATATTCTGCAAATATTAGTTATAAGCAGATTACTTCATAAATTTTAAACTGAAATATTTCTTTTTAATGGACATAATTTTAAATTAAACCAGAATATTTGTACCATGGAAGACTTGGTTAAAAATGTAGATGATTACTTCATTGCAGAAAACATGCAGTATTGGAAAATGTTGATTAACTGTACAGAGCGTAATACTTGAATAGATAGTTGATAATGATATAGGGTACAGAGAACAGTGTTCTCTATCCTGTACCATTACCAACTGCCTATTCAAGTATTATTCAAATCCCTATTCACGTTCAAATCAGTTAATCTGGAAGTAGCTGATTTTAGGCTCCAGTACTTTGGAGGGGGGCGGGGGGTGGGGTGTGTGTTTGTTGGTTTTTTAATACATCTTATGCAGATATCTGTAAATCCTATTTTAAATGGTCAAAATTTTAAAAAGTTTTTAAACTTAAAATAGTTATTTTTTCTTGTCCATTGCTATTTCTAACACCTTTCTTTAGTGTATGCAGGAAATGGGGAATACCAAGGCAAGAATACTCTATGAAGCTAATCTACCAGAAAACTTTCGAAGACCTCAGACGGATCAGTATCCTTTTTGTCAGCGTTTTCCACTAGAGAATATCTCGATGCAATCTGTGTTGCACAAATACATATAGATTTTTCTGATATCAACTTCCTTTTTTTTATTAAATTTGATATTTGTTTATTTTTATTTTGTAAATCCTGACTAAAGTTAATGAAGAATTGAAAACGTTTCACAAACTTTAACAAAATTATTTGAGGCATGGCAACCTTGTCTGAGAGTGAGAGGCTTAAGTTTATATCAGAAGACACGATTAAGTAGCTTGATTGTAGCCTATAAGTTCTTAAAAGGGGATAAGATTTCTGATAGCAAGGGCTCTTAGATCTTGTTATTCCTTTTGCCTTCATGCTGGAATACCTAGGAAACTGAAATGTGCATTAGTTCCCATTTGAGTTTGTCTAAGTATTTAGTAGTGAGGATAAAAACCATTGGAATTCTTTCACTTAAATCAAGACTGAACAACTTTGTAAAATATACACACTAATTCTTTGGTCTCTTCTATGCAGGAGACTCCTACACTTGATGCTCCTCATGATTTATCCTAGGCCTAAGATCTGTGAATAAAATAGAATCTTGTGCTAAATACTGCTTGTTCATCTTGTATGCATGGCTATCCAATACTGTGCAGGAAAAAGGGAGTGTTCATTTTCCATCTTCAAGTTGCAGCAAAGGGGGTTTAGGTTGGATATTAGGAAAAACTTTCTCACTAGGAGGGTGGTGACACACTCAAACAAGTTACCTAGAGAGGTGGTGGAATCTCCATTCTTGGAGGTTTTTAAGGCCCAGCTTGACAAAACCCTGGCTGGAATGATCTAGTTGGGGCTGGTCCTGCTTTGAGCAGGGGGTTGAACTAAATGACCTCTTGAAGTCTGTTCTAACCCTAATTTTCTATGATTCTGATTCATGGTTATAAGGGGAGGTTCCAATGGAAAGGGTTTTTTTTATTTTTTTTTGTTTGTTTGGTTTGTTTTTTTTTTTTTTTTTTTTCCTTCTCACATCTGTAGCCAGAGTTTGATGTCAATATTGAATCTTCTGACTGCCACATCCATGAGATTTGGCACAGTATAGTAGTCCTCCCTCTAATTTTCCGATTTTCATTTTTGCATCCTTTTACCCCGCCCCAAATCCAGTAATAAAGGTAACCCCTTTCCATGCCGAAGGATCATAAGTATTGAGATTCTAGTTTCAAATGTAGTGGATCAGTACAGAAAATGGACTTTTGTAACAGGGCAAATTTGAAGGGGAAAGTGTATCATGTGATGCATCCCCTGCTAATACCACTGAGAGTCTTTTGGAACGGAACCTGACAGATCCTTCAATTCTAAACTGGATTCTGAATTTTAGGCTCAAAACTCCCATACGGTGAGATATACCTCTACCATAATGTTACAGCTCTGAAAGCTGGTTAAGTCTACCAGTTGTTGCTCAGATGTACAGTGTGGGTCTGGGAAGCATGTCTAATAAAAGGTATATGTACTGCAGTGGCAGAGTGATCATTCATGCTGTTCAGGAACCAAAAGCAGGTGTGAGGCTTATTTTGGTGATGTGACTAAGCACTCTGCCACCTTTAGTGAAGATGTACCTAAAGAGTCCTAGATCCAAAAGACCTCACTGCTGCTCTGCAATCATACAAAGGACAGGATTTTACCAAACCTCTATATTGTATCCACAGCTCTGGTCATCCCAGTCAGCTGCCTTTCAGCTTGATCCAAGACTTTAATTCAGGTTGCAAGTAAGCAGGTATAAATCAGGAGTTCTGAGTTTTGACAGCGTGTCTACCTCTCCATTTCAGAGGTATTGCCATACTGCTAGGGCATTCTTGTTGGCCGTGATGCATTGCTCGTAAGTTACCGGTATTGGCCATGACTATGTGAATGACTATTGCAAAGGGATGTTGCAAGATCAATCTTAAAAGTTTGTAAGAACTGGAGATGCAGGTGCCTTCTTTTGCAGGTGGATAGATTGAGCAGCGTGCTCCTGAAGTGCTGATGTTTTTGACCCTGTTTTGAAGGTCCATCTCTGAGGAGCCAGTAGTGGCTTCTGAAATTTAGGTTGGTATAAATTTATTTTTTATGAGTTCTCCAGTCTTTGGGTTCTGATGCTTCAGCCCTGATCAGTCATCCTGCTTCTGCAGGAAAAGGTTTTTGCTACCAGGTAATAAGATCAAAAAAGTGTTATTGTTGGCTTGGTTCATTTGAGTAGTTCTGAGAGATTCCTCTTGCTTTTCTAAATACATATCTTTTGAAGGGTCAGAACTGTTTTGGTGAAATGGATGACACATTTAAACAAAGAGCGAGATTTTCTGTAACTATTTCAGTAGGTTGATTTTTTTTTTCTTTTTTTTTTTTTTTCTTTTGAACTAATTGTGCCTCCTTCTTTAGGTCTAAAGACTAGGCAGCTGTTGTCCCACAGGCTACCAAAACCAGAGTGAATGTGATTGTATTTAAACTTCACTGCAGTCGTAGTATGGCTTGTCATTTTTAACGTAACAGTTTACAAAAATTCAAAAGCTAACATTAAGAATTTCACTTTTGCATTTTAAGTAGTTATAAACTAGATGTACCAGTGCAGAACAAAACTATATGTTAAATTTTCATTATTAGGGTCATTGGTCTCCCCTGTGAGGCTGGAGCTTGTGACTCAATCTGCTACCGCAGGCCACAGATTTCCATCTCACCCCCCAGGGAAGTGTAATTCACCTGTTTCTCACTGCAGATGCATAGTCCCTGTAGCAAGGTAAGTGCAGACATGAATAGCAGGGAGGGCTGCAGAGGAGGATACTACAGAGGGCTGTAGGTTGCCAATACTTCTCTCAGGAGATGAAGACACCCAATACCCCACAGTCTACTGTTTTCCCTCTGTATCCCTCCAAGGGAGCACTGCACAGCCCACCCAAGGGTGAGCTGATAGGTAGTCCTGCGTGGACTCTGCCTCCTGGGTGGCGCACACACAATCATAGAATCAAAGAACTGGAAGGTACTGGTAAGATCAAGTCCAGTCTCCTGCCATGGGCATGCAGTTATTGGGCTCAAACAAGGTGAACAAGGTACTTAATCCAGCCTCATCTTGAACACCTCCAAGGATGGTGACTGCACCACCTCTGCTGGGAGTGTGTTCCAGATTCTGGTAATCCTTATAAAAAAGAAAAAAAATTTTTTCTTATGTCCAGCCTAAATTTTCTCTCTCTTAGCTTGTGCCCATTGATCCTTGTCCTCCCTTGAGGTGCCTTTCTGAAGAGTTGCTCCCCTAGAACTTGATGCTCATCCTTAATGTACTTGTAGACAGTTTCAAGTCACCTCTGTCTTCGCTTACCCAGACTGAACAAGCCCATCTCCTGGATTCTCTCCTCATCGGGTCTATTCTCCAGGCCCCTAATCCATATGAGGGGCCTTTCTTTGTACCCTCTCGAACGTATCCACATCCTTCCTGAAGTGTGGTGCCCAGAACTGGACACTGTACTCTGTTTGTGGCCTAACCAATGCCAAATACAGAGGGAGAAGTACTTCCCTGGATCTACTGGCAACAGGTTGGCTGATGCAGGCCAGATTTCTGTTTGCCCTGCTGGCAACCTCATTGCACTGTTGTGGTATTTAACAGCTGGGGAACTGGGACAAGGATGTTATCCCCAGCTTGCTTCCCATGCCTCTGGCTTTAAATCCAGCCATGTGCAGCCCAACTAAACTAGGGGGGCTCTGTCTATTGACAGCTTGCCCCCTTTGCAGGCAGGAGAGAAGACAGGCTTTAAGATATTGAAATAGCCTTTACCAGACAAACATATGGCAGGTATTAAGATTAGGTGCATGAAATGGGGCTCCCTCACAATTAAGATCCCTTTTGTTCTGTGCCAAGCTTGTTTTAACTTCTCCATAGCCTCTTGGGTCTATCTTAATAAAGGATGTGAAGAACCCACAATTAGCACCCATTATGTATGAGAAGTGACTTCCCAAAATAATACAATTTCCACAATTTTAAAGGGCATTTTGTACTCTTTATTTCAAAGTAAGCACCAGGATGGCGCACAGACACAGTGCTACAAAATGCTGGATTTTTGTGCCAAACATGAAGTGTATTCTGGAAGCCATACCTGAGCAGTAGTAGTTTTTGGCAGTGTATTACTCATTCTGGATCTTTCAGATATTCTCCAAGACCAGCAGAAATGTACCTCTTGTCTACAGGACTCTGAGAATTGAAGTCTGTAATGGAAAAGTAAGTCAACCTAAATATATGGGTACAGCCACAATCTATGCCCTCTTTCCATACTTTAAAGAAATATCATCAACATGTACAGTTAGTATCTATATACTGATATTTCTGGCATAATGTAAAAATATTTGGCAGTGGGTTAAAAAAAAAAACATTCAGAACTATTCATATAGCAAAATTATTAGACAATATCTGTTAATCAGTCTCTGGAAATGGCCATACAGATGCTAATAGCTAGGAATAAAATACATGAAGAGAGAGAACTTATTGTAGGTTACTTTTAAGAGGAAAATGTACTGGGTTTTCAAGATGTATTTTTACATTATTTTTGAGCTGTTCAAAGTTTTTCTTCACATGAAGAAACAAACAGCCAAGTGAACTTTTTCATTCAGTGGTAATTAAACAGAAGGGAAAACATTCTCAAAGGAAGGCAAATAAATGAGAATTACTGCCATGTACTTACTACCAACCTTTTTTGGAACTAAAATATGTAGAACTAATGTCAAACTCTAGAGTGACATGTATGTAGGCACACCTCAGGTGCTAGAGAAGAAAGGAATCACCCAGGCCAGGAAGGGAAGCTTTACAGCTGAAGAACAAAAGTAACAGGGAACATAGTTTTATTCTCACTCCTACTTCTAGTTTGATCCAAAACAAGAACACTTTGATGTGGTTATCTCCATTGTGAAACTGGCATTGTGGTCTAGAAGGCTTAATTTAAATTAATAAAGCATTTTTCATGGCATCATAGAGAAGTTGGGCTGGAAGGGACCTCCAGAAGTTATCTAGTCCAACCTTTTGCTTAAGGCAAGATCCTCCCTATCTAAACCATCTTATACAAATCTGTTGTCTAACTTCCAGCCAAACTGCAGAGTCAACCTAAACAAAACACAAGACATTACCTGTGGCAGATTGTGGTGTTAAGTAGGGGGACCACGGAGGCCAATGTCCTACTGATGCAAAGATTGTTAAACTGTACACAAGATCCAGGGAAGAGAAACATGCCCCTTGCTACAGAGGAAGGCAAAAAACCCCACAGTCCTTACCAGTCTAACCATGGGGTAAAATTTCTTCCTGACCTCAAATATGCCAGTCTGTTTGACCCTGAGCAGAGGGCAAGACCTAGCCAGGAAGCTATGGGTTTAAGTCCCAGCAGGAGCACTCGCTCCAGGTTTCAGAGAGCAGTCCTTGCATAACTAAGAACTCTTTTTACCTGTGGCTGATGTGAATGAGCAGAGGTACTTGGAACAAAGAGAGGTTACATACGGAGAGCTAATCCTTGAAAATCTTTTCTTTGTACTACCTGCCCACCTCTCCTGCTGCTCCAAGATTCTGTGGTTAGGTAGAGGTAATGTGATGTGCTTGGGGAACTGAGGACGGACTCTTATGTAGAGAAGAGTGATGAGGTAATTTTTCAGGACAGTACTGTAGCTCAATGCTCATTGTGTCCTGCAGTGTGAATGTATATGGTTAACTCAAAAAAGGGTGGGGGGGGTGAGGGGCAACAATTCTGTCCAAAGAATCACAAGATGGATTTTCAGTCGCTTAGTTAAATTCACCCATGAATTTTTTTTTAGTGGCTCCTACATGGATCTTGTAAGTTCTTGTGCTAGGTACCACTTAGAATACATTTAACTGTGATAAATTGATGGGGAAGTGGGCATGGTGCAATATGAAATGTATGACAAAGTAACTCTGAGATTATGACTGTTGTTAAACTGCAAAATTGGAACTAACCTAGAGTATTCAAGGACCAATTTTGCATGAGGTAAAAATATTCACATCACTTCAACAGATTTTAATTAGATTATTATAAATCTGATGTCTGTCCTGTATTTGTTTTCTCCAGATCCATCTTGGGAGGAAAAACCCTTAGTATGCTTAGGCTTGGCAGTGCTACGCTGTATGGCACTACAGATGAAAGGGACTTGGGGGTCATGATTGACCACAAGATGAGCATGAGCCTTCGTTGCGATGCTGCAGCTAGTAAAGTGAGCAAAACACTAGCTTGCATCCATAGATGCTTCTCAAGCAAATCCCAGGATGTCGTTCTCCCGTTGTACTCGGCCTTGGTGAGGCTGCAGCTGGAGTACTGAGTCCAGTTTTGGGCTCCACAATTCAAAAAGGATGTGGGGAAGCTTGAGAGAGTCCAGAGAAGAGCCACGCGCATGATCAGAGGTCAGGAAAACAGACCTTAAGATGACAGGCTGAGAGCTATGGGACTCTTCAGCCTGGAAAAGCACAGGTTCAGGAGCTATCTGATGGCCACCTATAAGTTTGTGGGGTGTCCACCAGGACCTGGGGGAAAGTTTGTTCACCAGAGCGCCCCAAGGGACAACAAGGTAGAACGGTTATAAACTCCTGCAAGAATTTCTTTACTGTCTGAACCCCCAAGGTCTGGAATAGCTTGCCATCAGAGGTGGTTCAAACACCTACTTTGAGCACCTTCAAGAGAAAATTGCATGTTTATCTTGTTGGGATCTGATGACCCCAGCTGACTTCCTGCCCCTGGGGCAGGGGGCTGGACTCGATCTTTTGAGGTCCCTTCCAGCCCTAATGTCTGTGAAATCTTATGTTTTTCTTCAGCTCTGTACTTGAACTTTAGTACTATATTTCCTGTTGTATCCTTCTGGCTTTGTGTCAATATCTACACTAATTTTTTAAATCTTGCTTAATAGATTTATGATTTTAATAACCGCTGTTTTTTTCTGCATTGTCTGAGTTGATTGAATTTTTCTGCCTGGGAAATTTTCCGTTAATGTTTATATAGTTCAGCTGTATATTTTTCCTGAAATGCTTGCTTTGTATGACAAACAATTGATTTTTTTTTTCTTTTTCCAATTAAATTTTAATATATGGTATAAATCAGAGAATGCCAAGAAATCAGAAATCTTTAGCTGAACCAGTTTCAAGTCTTGTTCACTGGAGAGTGTGGGGCTTGATTCTTCCCAAGATCTTTTTAACAGAAAAGTGTTTTGACAATTTCACTAAAAAACTAAAAATGCTCTTGTTGTAAGAGCTAATACTGTAAGTGTTTAGTGTGTGAACACAACTTATGACTGATCATAAATACAAAGTGAAAATGTGATAGCTATTTTTCAGTGTTATGCTAAGACAGTATATCTATTCTTCATGCTTTGTGTGAAATATCGCTTGAAACATCTTGCACTAAGTGAATTAAGGTGCTTTTAAAGTTTGAAAATGTGTATGTTCCAAATAATTAGAAACTATGACTGAACTTTGCTGTTAATATGTTCATGGAGACCCTCTCTACATGCTAGAGGCATCGCACAATTAACTGGTTAATTGTGCAGTTACCTTGAGACCAGTTACATCTGCAAAGTAGTTATCACATGATAAAAAGCTCCAATCAGTTATGAAGTTAGACCTTGAAAATGTGTACTAAGTTCATGGCTGATTGTTATGAAGCTTTAATGTGCATGTATAGCAAGCAGGGTCTCCCCTGCAGCTAAGGGTCCCATCAGTTGACAGGGCTCCTAGCCACAAGGGTGCACTATCCCCAGCGTGAAACCCACAGGCCTTGGGCATTGCGGCAGCTGCCATCTCCAAGGCTCAGGGGTGTGTAAAACCGCTGGGCCCACCTGGGCAGCCAGGACTGAGTCCTGCACCTGACGGGGCTCTTGGTCCGGGTTGTGCACAGCCTCCACAGCAGGGAGCCCCATCAGCAAATGGGACTCCCAGCTGTGGGGTCCTGCTTCTTGCCAATGCAAGTGGGCCCCAGGGTTGGTCTCTCCCGGTGCCTTCAATAAAGCACAATTGGATCCAGTGTGCAGTGTGGCATGGCAAGAGGTGCAATTATGTGCATCATGAATTAGATTTAATGGTGCCTGTACCTGCATGTGTAGAGGGGGCTGGAGAGTAATTGAGCATTCATGTGAATAGCAAAAACAATTTAAAGTTAGGGTTCAATTTTTCTTTTCTTGAGATAAAATTGGGAAAAATAAAACGAATGTTGGAGAATTCTATTCTTTGAACATTATTATTCCATAGTTTCAGTATTCTTAACCTATTTATGTATTGATTTAGTTTGTTTTCTATTTATCTTGCTGTTTTTCCTTAATGTACTTGTTACCAGAGCTGTAGAATTTTTCATCAGGGATAAATATGAAAAGAAGAAATACTATGACAAAAATGCAATCAATACCTTCAATGTAAGTAAACAATTTTTCTAATAATTTAGATAGGTTGCAAGATAAACCCATAGAATACTAAGTCAAACTAGGAAAATTTTAAGTTTTAAGTGCTTGTTATCACAAGTGGTATCACATATTTATTAAATAATGAAGTAGACGGTCTCTTGCTCCAGAGCCAAATGCATCTGATATTCGTTATCTGGAAGTGAATTGCTTGGAGGAATTTAAGTGGTTATTGAATATTGCTGCTATGATAACTTCATTATTTAAATTAAATTTTGACATTATAAACTCAACAAGAATTTTAACCTTTATATTTTAAAAAAATAGTTGAAATGACAGGAACCCAGAACATACGCTGTGAAGAGTATCTGAATTTTTCATGGTGGCTTGATGAAAAATAAATCAATACAGAGAACATTTTCATGTCTCCAATTTTAGCAGTTTCTTCCCCATACTTTTTCCTCTTTCCCCTTTTTCAGGAAATCTAAATCACTTTGGGATCAGTCTTTGCCATATTCTTACTCCTCGTGCTAATTTCTAAAAAATCTGTTATACTAAAGTAGTGGTTATCTACAGGTTAGCTTTTTAGCTGTAACAGAAAATATATACGTCGAGGTAAGCCTGTCACGTTTTTAATTTGATGGCAAATCTGCTGCAGTGCAAACACATTACTAGTACTCATGGGAGACCTAAAAATTACAAGTCAAGGTGTAGGTCTCACCAAATGTACCTGTAGCCTAGGGGGAAAATAGAGAGGGGAACAAGGTTTGAAATTTTAACCTCTTATGAATTCCAATGGGATATACTGCTGTGGAAGATAGCAGACAGCTGTTGAACACTGAGCTTATGTGCAGTTGTTTCTGGTATTGAACTTGGGTATCTAGCGTGACACATGCCAACCTTATCTACTACTGCCCTGCCCTGACTTTGAATATAGTATAATTAGATTTGATTACACTATTTTGAGCTACAGTGCATCCCTAATTATCCAAATCCCTATGGAAAGCACCCACCAAAAGCCTTTTGACTAAATGTAAAATACAGCATCATATGAAGAGGTGTTTATGCCAATACAGAATGTCATGTAGAGCAAGGCTGTCCAGCATCTGAGTGACCACACTGTCCCCCTCTGCTGTACTGTGCCTAATGCACCACTTGGGCCTCCCTCCACCCTGCAGCACCATGCCTGTTCCATACCACATGCCCCTCATCCTGCAATTCACTGTATCAGCCTTACTGCACATCAAGGCATCCCTCACCCTTCTGCCTTGTGAACTACACTGTGCCATCTCACCCTTAGGGGCAGGTGCAGAAGCAGGAGGAGAGAGAAAGTGGGTCTAAAGACCCTGGCTATGGCAGCAGGCAAAGTGCTGCAAAGGACTGGTGTTCAGAGCCTGGGGGTGCAGGTTAACCCTGCAAGGGCCAGAAGCAGCCCACAGGTCAGCTTCTTAAGGACATGGTCAAGCATCTAGTGCACCGGGGCATTGGTGACTTCTGGTTGCTGCCATGATCATAGTTATAATTGCATGGCTTCTGGAAGCTGGTGCTTTTTATTGGCCTCCTAATTCAGTGCCTGATGTGGTGCGAGGGTGCCCAGTGGCAGTAAATTACTAGCATTGCCATGGGCAGATTGTTGGCTGGCTTTCGTGTAGACCACTACCAGCCTCAATGCAAATGTTAAATTCAGTAAAATCTAAGAGAACAGGTTGTTGTACAACACAAACACTTACAGGTTAGCAAAAGAAAACTGCCATTTGGATAATCAAGGTATGGATAACAGGATGTGCTGTACTGAAAGAACAACCCTAGAGCCAAGGATTCAGATTGCAAGTATTTTACAAACTAGTAAAATATTTATGCAACTTTCTGTGAAAAATGTACATCATGTTATCCTCTTGCTCGTGGTTTGGGAACCTCTGGCTTGTGTGGTAGATCTAGCCTGTGGAACCACTGAATTTGGGCTGGAGCTTGAAGGCTTTGATCATGTTACAGCAGGGCAGTGGAATACTTAACACGCGGCTACAGCACAGGCTTTGTTGGTGCTGTGACTGGGCAGTGAGGAGTAGCGGCTACCTGTGACAGCACAATGTAGATTCTTACTTGTATCAGCTGCGAAACTTGAGGAGTGGGATGATGGTGGCAGGATTGTTTGCTGAGTTCTCCAAATTTCCCTCCAGCCCATACCCCATATTTATAGATGTCTGGTTTTAATATTCTAATTAATGGGTTTTATATAAATCTGGAACTGTACTGAACCAGTTGTTTTTTTTGGGGTGGGGTTTGTTTTGGTGTTTTTGTGGACATGAAAGGTGTCAGTTAGGATTGATGTTTCTGTGGAAACAACTACTTCTGGAAGGAAGGTTTTCTTATCTCTTTCCTTCACCATGATGGGATTGCTTGCCA